TCCATCCACGTTGCTACAAAAGGCCATAGTTCATTTTTTCTCATTGCCACGTAGTATTCCATAGTGTATGTTCTGTCTTTTAGAGTTTAATGTCAGCAACTGACTTTTAGAGAAAGTAATAGTAAAAGTATAGGAAGTAATAGTTTACTTTTATAGAAAGTAATAGTTCAGTTCAGCTGACTTTTAGAGAAAGTAATAAACTTGGATTAGAACATTTACTTACATGCTAGTGTTTTATTTCAGGTTGAATATGAATTGTAGTGAGATCATCTGTATGTTCAACAATATGGGAAAGATTGAATTTGAGAGCTTAACAAAGTAAGTATAAGAATGGCAACATGCCATTAATATCTGATAGAGTCTAAGAGACAGAAAAATTACCTAAGAGACAGGAAAATTGATGTGTTGTATGTATGATTCAAAAGCTGTAAAATAATATAAAGGGCAACGGTTTCTATCTATTAAATTCTGTGTGAGATATTTAAGAATGAAACGACCTGGAATCAGTATTAAATGATATATATGTGAAAGTTATCTTTGAGATTCATTCATTCAGACAGGATTGAACACTGATTTTGTTCTAAGCGCTAACATGCTAAACATTATATATGTCAGAGAAGTTACAATAAGTAGAGGATGACATATGTAAACAATAAAGTGAATAATTGCTATGATAGTAATATATACAGAATTTAATGGAGATGCAAAGGAAAGGAATGGTCCATTTTTAGTGGTAACAATCGATTTGGGAAAAGGAAAATTTTATCTATGAAAAATGACTAACAATTGGAAAGGCAATCAAAAAGGAGGGACGCATCATAACAGAAAGAAAGGTATGGTCAGTGAGATAACATACTACATTCAGGGAACTGCATATATAATTTCACTTGGTAGACGATACATATAAGCTAAATCCTGAAGACTTTGTACGCTGTGCAGCAGTTTGGACTTTTTTTTTCTACATCCATGTTATCCAATATGGTATCCATTAACCACATGTGCCCATTTAAATTTAAGCACAAATTAATTAAAACAAAGTTAAAAGAAAAAATTGGAGGGGTGCCTGGCTGGCTCAGTCGGTAGAGCATGTGACTCTTGATCTTGGGGTCATGAGTTCGAGCCTCACGTTGATCGTAGAGATTACTTAAAAAAAAATTGAAAAATTGGATTCCTTAATTGTACTAGCACATTTCAGGTGCTCAGTAGTAGCCACTTGTGGTTAGTAGCTACCATGTTGGACAGTCCCACACTTGCATTATCATGGAAAGTTCTATTGGACAGCACAGCTATAGACAGTTGAAAACCACTAAAAGATGATTTCAACATGAAAATAAAATGATTTGAATTTTAAAAAGATAACTTTGGTGGCTATTTATAGGATTATTTGGAAAGGAGTATGAGGCTTGAGGCTGAAGGATCAGTGGGGCTATTGTATCAATAGTCTCAGCAAATGATGAGAAACGAAACATAGGTAGTATCACTAGAGAGCAATAGATATGACAAATGCTAAGTAGGGAAAATTGATAAAACTTATTGTTTGAGTGTGATAAATGAGGGAAAGAGAAGCATCCTTTACAGGTCTGGCTTTGGTGATTAAGTTGATGGATTGGTATTCACCAAGATTGGGACTACAAGAAGAAAATTTGGGAGTTGGGGATAGTAGACATGTTGAGTTACTGTTGTTGATGAGATGTATGGGGGAAAATGTCCAGAGAGCAGTTAGCTACATGTGCTAAAACTTAAGAAAAGGTCTTGAACTTGATTCTAGGTTTAGGATTAGTCAGAATACAGATGGTTTAGAAACCCACCGAAAGAAAATAAGTTCATTCAATTTTAAGTGGTATGTGTCCAGGGGAAATCATCCCTCAGGGAGCATCACATTCATTACCTTCTAGAGTTTAGCCCACAGTGTTAAAAGGTCAGGAAAGGACATGAGCAGATCTGCTTTAAGCCAGGTAAACTCCTGTAAGCCAAATTCACAAAACTGAATGCCAGTTTAGCCAGAATGCTAGTTTATTAACTTAATGGACAAATACAATTGCCACAGGGACTAGGATACTTGTGTTGGGATTCTTTTCTAGTCCAGACAGGCCTAAGAAGCGAAATTATCAAAAATTTCTTTGTTTGCAGTCTTGTTTGGAATAAAGGGGAAAAGATTAATCAAGTAGCTTAATAGCATTAGGCTTAGATAGCGCATTTCTTACCTCAGAGGAAAGACCCTGCCAGAGGTCTAGTATGCCAGTCCTTGGGCTCAGGGCATCTTCCCCCAGGTGTGGAGCCCTGTACCATATTTGTCTGTGACCTTACTTTTGTGCTTCCATGGATAATCATCAGTCTTTGCAATGAATACATTCTTCTAGATATTTCCATAACTTGAATATTGTCACTCTTGAACATTTTTAGTATCAAAAGCTATTCTGTCTCTTTAAGAGTCTGCATATATCTTGTTTTGATTTTAAATTTAATTCAGAGTAGTCTTAAATTTTTTCCTAGTTTTAAGAGAAAGTACACTGTAATCTGCTTCTACTTATTACAGGTGGTAATTAAACAATGGGTTTGCCCAGTAAGAGTAGGTACTGACATAAATCAAGGACAGTACCTTGGAAAAATATTAAATTTTAAAACTGAAAAAGGGCAACCTGCAAAAACAAAACAAAACAAGATTGAGAAGGAGTAGGCAGAGGTTGAAGAACAAATGGGAGCAAGTGGTGCTCTAGAAGTCAAAGGAGGAGTTTGAGACTGGACTTGGTGGACAGTGTTAAATATCCCAGGTCAAATGAGAGTTGTTATAAAAAGGAATGTGTGGTTTGCAAAGTTGTGTACATATACATATCCTCAGATATACATATCTTTTGAATTCAACGTGTATTCAAAGCATACCTTTTGTTGGAAGAAACAGATAATGTGTCATTGCTGAATCTAATTGGCCTTGTTAGTTCTTATTTCTAAAATGCTTTTTATTTTTTTATTTAAAAAAATTACTTTTAAGTTTATTTATTTTGAGAGACAGAGCAGAGGAGGGGCAGAGAGAGAGGGAGAGAGAGAGAATCTCAGGCAGCTTTTGTGCTGTCAGCCCAGAGCCCAACGCAGGGCTCAAACTCATGAACCATGAGATCATGACCTGAGCTGAAACCAGAGTCCAACGCTTAACCGACTGAGCCACCCAGGCACCCCTGAAATGCCATTTATTTATTTATTTATTTATTTACCCATCCCAGCTGAGGATTTATTGGCATAAATGCAACCATATCAAAACATAAGTTACGAAAAACACAGTCACAATGTGCCCCCTCCTCCCAGCCCAGGCCCCTAAAACCCCCTTCTGAGAGAGGGAAGGAAAGGAAGAGGGAGCCCCCAAACTGCCTAGGAATGCCGCAGCCCCTGGGCCCGTGCAGGGCCAGCCCGGCCAGGGTGGCAGAAGCCGGATGCCGCCCCAGCGCATCCGGTAGTCAGTGGAGCAGGACAGCTCGCACAGCTGGCCCTTGAAGTCCAGATCGATGGTGAAGTCCAGGTTGCAATTATTCTTGGCATTGGGCCACATGCCAGTGGTGCCAAAGATCTCCTTGCCCGTCTTCACGGTCAGGTAGTCTTCCATGTAGAGCACGGTCTGCTTCCAGCCCTAAAATGTTTTCTCAGTGATGATCTGTGATGAAGCTAAATTCGTAATGGGTTAACTAAAAGACAAGCTTTTTGAGACTCCATCTCATTTCTTTGATAGAATTTCTGTACTTGTAGATTTGATAGCCTAAATCTATGTGGATATGTGAAGAAGATAGAAAAACATGGAGTCAACCATATAAACGATTAGCTGTAGGTTAGTGGCTACCAGATAATACCTCCTAAAGGGTTCAGACTAAAGGTGGTTTTTAGGCTAGGTGGAGATTTCTAATGATCTGTTCAGGATTGTACCCTTCACTGTTTCCTATACTTTATTTTTAAGCTAGGAAATTAGAAGAAATAACCATAATTTAAAATCAAACAGCTAAGCCAAATCACAATGATTTTTTAAACCTATATTCACTGTTTTTTAGGACTAGAAGATTATGACATGACTGTATCAACTTTTTCCTTCAGCTTCTCATTGATTATACCTCTTGTTGACCTTTTAAAACCCCTAGGTTTCTCTTAAAAACTGAGAGTAAGCTGAGGGTTGATGGGGGGTGGGAGGGAATTGAGGGTGGGTGCTGGGCATTGAGGAGGACACCTGTTGGGATGAGCACTGGGTGTTGTATGGAAACGAATTTGACAATAAATTTCATATTAAAAAAAAAAACCTTAGGTTTGCTTAGGGCTGGGAATGGGCAAAAGTTCCTTCTGGGTTCTAAAATTAGATTAAAATGTTCTAAAATTAGATTATGGTGATGGTTGCACAACTGTAAATTTAGTAAAGATGATTGAGTTTCATGTTATGCAAATTATACATCAGTAAGGCTATGTAAAAGATACTTCTGAGGCACCTATACAGCTTTACCTTTTTATATGTGTCATGGTATTTTTTTAAGTTTATTTATTTTGAGAGAGAGAGCATGAGCAGGGGAGGGAGAGAGAGAGAATCCCAAGTAGGCTCCACACAGCCAGCACAGAGCCTGATGTGGGGCTCAAACTCATGAACCACAAGATAATGACCTGAGCCAAACCAGGAGTTGGATGCTCAACTGACTGAGCCACCCAGACACTCCTATATGTGTCACCTTATTAACTGTCGTGTGAATAGGAAATGACTTGAATGTAGATACAAAAAATTTATGAAACAATTTAAAGTAGCCATATGCCTATGTATTTTTTTCCTCCCAACTTTTATTTATTCCAGTTAGTTAACATGCAGTGTAATATTGGTTTCTGGTACAGAATTTAGTGATCTATCACATACTTCCAACACTCAGTGCTCATCACAAGTGTTCTTAATACTTGTCTATTTTTTAAACAGACGTAATCCCCAAGAAAATGAAATGGAACAGAATGTTCAAAAGCAATATAATCATAAAAAGGAATTTTCTTGTCATGATACATACCCATCACAAGAAAAGAAAAAGATTGACGTGTCTTTCCTAACTAATGAAGCCCCACCATGTTCTTTGCAATGGGAAACCCATGATGTGCATTTAGAAGCAGAAGATTTCCAGCCACAGAAAGAGGTTGTTGCAACACCATCCCCTAAAACCATTACTATTCTGCCTCAGATGGGATCTAGCCCTGATGTGATAATTGAAGAAATTATTGAAGAAAACCTGGAAAGTGAGTGAAAATACAAAAGCAAGGAAACAATATGTCTGTAATTAGAAACAAAATTAGTCCCTATATTTAATAGAAACATAGTGCTGTTATCTTAAACCTTCTTCTTGTGAGTTAACATCCATTGATTCCTTGTCCCTGCTTTCACATTTTCCAGAGTTAGGATAATTTTTATTTTTAATGCAATAATCTAAACTCTAAGATGTTAATTTAATGTTTGGTTTAATTGAAGTATTTGACTTTTTGGTGTTCTACACATAAACCTTATATAAAAAATGAAGATACTTGTAGAAACGATCTCATGTCTTTGTCCTTAAAGAATAGCTTCTCCTAAATCTTTGTTCTGAGATATAGTCTGTTATAAAAAATTGTTTAAAGATATAACGTGTTACATAATCTGAAATAAAATCTGTCATGAATATAATAGCATCTATTTTGTAACATTTCAGTGTATCATAATACTTTGATTAGATTTACAATGTTGTAGTTGTATTCTCCCCATTAACTACTACTACTGTGTAGTTATATTACTGGTCTTCTTTAGGACCATTTTCAAGTTCCATTTTAGTTCTCTTCCACCCACCACTTCCCAGTCTGTTTCATTGGTTGATTCTACAGAATGACATTTTGAATGAAACAGCGGTGGGGGGGGGGGGGGAAGGAACATGTTTTCAGTTGTTTCTATTGTATTTTATCACTGAAATCTCAGTGAGTTAAGAGATCTGTTATCCATCACTTCTCAGTCTGTTTCATTGGTTGATTCTGCAGAATGACATTTTGAATGAAAAAAAAAAAAAGGAGGAGCATGTTTTCAGCTGTTTCCATTGTATTATTATCACTGAAATCTCAGTGATTTAAGAAATCTATTATGACTTTACCTACTGATAACAAGGAGTCTTACCATTCCAGTATTTTGCCAATTCAAGTACAGCTTTTTAAACAGTAGTATATCATTGTCAACTTAATAAAACTAGTACAATTGCCTTTATTTCCTATTTTGATGAAGCACTCTTCACAGATTATCTTGTGGAAACACCTAGAGATCCAAAAAAGCCTTTTCAGAAAAAATCATCTTCCGCTGTTGGATCAAAAGCAGGTACTTTAACAACTCTGAACTTGATGTTGTGGAGTTTGCTGTACGTAAAGTAACTCTTACATAGTATGAAGGCAGCGAGTAAAATGAATATTAGTATCAACTAAAACTTCTTCCTTTTGAATATTAAAGGTTTTGGCTGTTATTGGCAAAAATGTTTCTGAAATTTATAACACTTCTGTCAACTGTCTCCCCAGTTATACATATTTATCTCTTTACCCCATATTCAATATGGACATTATTCTTTGTGATCTGTATTGGATAGTTAAAATGATCCACTTGTTCAGTTTTTATCATCTGTCTATACTTGACTGTCTCCAATTCCACTCCTCCTAGTTTTTGAGTTTTAAACATTTTTACTAAATGAAACATCTACATTGTTCAAAAATTATATATTAAAATACTGTGAAATTTTTACCTAACTGTTCCCATTTCATTCGGTCCTTCTTTCCCTTCCAGTTTCTTTATGCATATACAAATACACATATATTATTTTTCTAACTTGTTTTTATACAAAAACATAGCACACCGTGCACACTGTTCTGTTCTTTTAATTCCTTTTTTTTTTTTTTGTAACATTATATTCTGAACATCTTTTCAGTAGCTACACTTGGCTTCATTACTGCTGTAAACAGAATATTTTTTTCTTTTATTCTACCCTCACTACCACCCCCAGCTTCCACCAAAACATGTATCTCTTCCCCTAAATGGTGCTTAGTATTTGGCTTTGCCCAGATGTTTTTTCACCCCTTTCTAGCCAGGTAAGATTTGTGATTCAGAGTATCTATGAGCTAATTATTAGTTCTTTGGATATAGTATAAACAGGATTTTTTGAGATATGCAAGAAGTCTATTTAATATCAATGGAGTTCTGAGTTCCAAAATATCCATAAATAAACTGATGTTTTTTTGTAATATGATAGAGTTATAGCATATCTTGACTTCAGCATCTAACTACCACGTGAACTACAATTCCACTTAAAATACCTGGCATGTAAAATAAAATAGTTGCAGTTCAGGTTATGCTAAAGGATTTAATGTTGGTAGTGGGAACTTTATCAGCCTAGTTACTATTTTGGGTTTGGACTTCTTTTTGTGGGGCTTAAGTATTCTAGAGTTTTCAATGCCACAAGACACTTAATATTCTTTTAGAGGATATTGCATTCAGTTTTTGTGAATTCATTCCTAACTTATGATTTGTTAATATGGGTTAAATATTCTTATCTAGGTTCTCCAGAGCTAGTTTTTGTAAGCCATGTAATACATCCTTGCCACTTTTATGTCCGGAAGTATTCACAAATTAAAGATGCAACAGTACTGGAAAAGAAGGTCGATCAGTTTTGCAATAAGAGTTTACACCTTGATCCTTCAGACCTTTTGGAGCTAGGTAATGAAATATTACTCCAAGCTAAAATATCAAGTTTATGTAAATATTATATAGTATTTGGCCAACCCTTATAGGCTAACCCTTATAGACCTTTTATAATACAGATTTGTTCCAGAAGCATAAAAGTTTTATAAGAGGGGTGCCTGGGTGGCTTAGTCAGTTGAGTGTCTGACTCTTGATTTCGGCTCAGGTCAGGATCTCACAGTCTGTGTGATCGAGCCCTGTGTCAGGCTCTGCGTTGACAGTGCAGAGCCTGCTTGGGTTTCTCTCTCTCCCTCTCTTTCTGCCCCTCTGCTATTTGTGCTCTCTTTGGCTCTCTCTCAAAATAAACTTAAAAGTTTTGTAGTGATATAATTTTATTTAGGTAAGTTAGCTAAATATTGACTGCTGAGTGAAGTATATATAAAACCTCAATTACAGAGTGAAAGGAGTTATTTTTTTAAATTACAAAGCCCATCGCAGGTTATGTAGTTTGCTTCCCTGTCTCCAGGGAAAATTGGCCTCTAACACGATTCCTTGTATTGTGGCTGTTAGTCCCTTGCTGTCCACATGTGAATATTGAGGATGTCATTAAGCACTTAAATGAGATGCAGGAGAACACCGGTACCTGTTTCCTAGGACCCCACAGAGGGTAGTATATTTTGAGGGTACCCATGCTGAGGGTTTGTGTAATTTGCCATAATTTAGGGTCTTATTGCAAATGTTTTCCTTATAATACATTGACTAAATTTGATTATAATAAGACAAAGCTATTATTTGTTTGATTTATTAACAGAGTGAGAAAACCATCTATTAATAGCAATCAATGCCTATGTATAATACCAAAAAGTATTACCTGTTTAATTATATAGTACTTTTTTTTTTCAACGTTTTTATTTATTTTTGGGACAGAGAGAGACAGAGCATGAATGGGGGAGGAGCAGAGAGAGAGGGAGACACAGAATCGGAAACAGGCTCCAGGCTCTGAGCCATCAGCCCAGAGCCTGATGCGGGGCTCGAACTCACGGACCGCAAGATCGTGACCTGGCTGAAGTCGGACGCTTAACCGACTGCGCCACCCAGGCGCCCCTAGTTATATAGTACTTTAAAAGTGGTGACTAACTCTCAGTTTATCTGTGTAGCTTCTCAGAATATTCAAAAATTAGGATTATCGTATACTTCTGACAAAAATTAATAGTAATTTTTAACTTTAGATAACTTTTAACTGTTGAGTATCTAAGAATAAAGAAATGTTGTATTAAACTTAACTTTTATGGTAATTCTCTAAAATTTAATACATGTCCGAAAGAGTTCAGCTTAGATTCAGAAAATTTTCTAAAAAAGCCAAAAAGTCATTCATTGTTTTCAATTAAGGACAATTATTATTTCAAGGCAAATAAATTTGCATGACTTAAGTACCTATATTTTGAGTAATGAGTGATAAGGGAAGAAATGTGAAATGATACTTCAGGAGGATATCCTTTTGTTCCTTTTTCCTACATACGCTCTTCACTGCAAAGGACAACAAATGTCTTCAATAGTCTTTTAACTTACCTATCAAAAAAGAATGGTTTGGGGCTCCTGGATGGCTCAGTCAGTTAAGTGTCTAACTCCTGATTTCGGCTCAGGTCATGATCTCATGGTTTGGGAGTTCAAGCCCCACATCAGGCTCTGCACTAGTGCAGGGATTTTCTCTATCTCTCTCTCTCCCTCCCTCCCTCCCTCCCTCCCTCTCACGCATGTGCCTTATCTTTCTCTCTCTGAAAGTAAATGAATAAATAAACTTAAAAGAATGGTTTAATAGTGTATAGTTTAAAACTAAGAATAATTGGTTACGTAGTGTATCTACCTAAGAGAAACGTTGATGATAATCTTTAAGCCAAAATAATTGGTTACGTGGTACATCGACATAAGAGAAAGGTTGATGATAATCTTTAGGCCAAATAAACATTTTGGTTAGAACTAAAATTAAAAGGTTGCCCTAATGTGCCTCTCAACTATCCTATTTTTATTAGCATGTCCAGAGGGGATTATACAGGATCCCTCTGTATATAATCAGTGGTCAGATCTACCAGTTTATCTCAGATAGGTAACTTAGTTGTTAAGAGGATGGACTCTAAGACTACTTGGATTCTCCTCCTACCTCTTTGCCACCATCTCCATAGGGTTGTTGTGTGGAGTAAGTAAATTCAAACGTAATGTACTGAGAACATCACTGAGATCATAGTGAGCATTCAAATTCAGGCCTCCTTCTTTCTTGACCTTTTTTCCTGGTTATTAATTTGTAATTCATCTGATCTCTCCCTAAGGTCTTCCTCTGCTGCTGTGTCCTTGGTTCATCTTCCCCTTCTCTGAACTCCCAGTGTGTGTTTAATTTTGGCATGTCACATACTGCCTTTCATTGTTTCTTTACTTTCATTCCTCTTTATCAAGAGAAGGTAATTGCTTCTTCCTTTATGCTCCCAAAGTATTTTACAGATTTCAGCATTTATATATCTGTACATCTATGTGTGCACACGCATGGATAGAAAATTTTTATTGTTGTAAGTACAGTCATTTGCCCATCTCTTTTTCTTTCTTGAGCTTCTTGATGGCAGGATGGTCTCATTCATCTTTGGTATAGTTCATAAAACATAGGTCTTCAATAAGAGACTGCTAACCTTGTTTTTAGCTCCCTATTTAGCTATATAACAGAAACTATCACAGTATACTACCTTTATTTTTTTCATAGCACCTGACATGTATATGTCCTCAGTAAATAAATGAATTAAGATTTCTTAGTGATGAAACTGATATATGTGTTCGTAAGTTAGAGCTTATTAGGTATTTTTCTCCATAAATACTGATAATGATTTGTCTTCCTCATTATTTAGGTGCAAGAATATTTGTCAACAGTATTGAAAATGGAATGTGGTGTCGAGGAACTATCACTGAATTAATTCCAATAGAAAGCGAAAATATTAGAAAATTTTGTAGTCCAACCAAATTCTCAGTCCGTGAAGTTGCACTAATACAAATATTCATGGTAGATTTTGGAAATTCTGAAGTCCTAATTGTTACGGGGTATGATGTTTTATAGTTGTTACATGTTTCTGGCCTGTTGATCATGGGGGTGGGATACTAAAGAATAAAGGAAATTGAAAATGGGGATAGAGAGGAGTAATTTATCATTCTTCACTTCTAAGGCATATAATTTGGCTCTATAATTTGTTTTACAAATTACTAAATTAGTGAAGTATTATCATTTATCAATGTTACTAAGTGAGGAGCTAGTAAAAGGAGATTTTTTTTTTAATTTTTTTTTTCAACGTTTATTTATTTATTTTTTTGGGACACAGAGAGAGACAGAGCATGAACGGGGGAGGGGCAGAGAGAGAGGGAGACACAGAATCGGAAACAGGCTGCAGGCTCTGAACCATCAGCCCAGAGCCTGGCGCGGGGCTCGAACTCACGGACCGTGAGATCGTGACCTGGCTGAAGTCGGACGCTTAACCGACTGCGCCACCCAGGCGCCCCAAAGGAGATTTTTGATGTAACCCAAACTTAAGTACTTTTCTGTGTTGCTTCAAAACAGGGAATGATGCACAAAAGTATTTCCTTTAAATAAAGTGTTACAACTAGCTGCAAGATGACTCAGTAAAATTTTAAATCAGACTTCTATAATTTTATCAGTGCATATTGAGGTGGCATAGTGTCTAACCGTCGGTATTCAAAAATATTTCTCTCAGTCTTCTAGGAAAATAAAACAAAAATGATAAAATAATAAAAATAAAACTGAAAATGTTTCTATAGTAAGGACCACTATTAACTATAAAATGGTCACTATCTAATGGCCATAGCTTTATAAATAAATAGATTTCTGTTTGAGGACATCATTATCCCCTTTAAATTTAAGCCAAATAGAAATATGAAAGACAATTCAGATTAAGTCAATTGAGATTTAATTCTATAGAGAAAAATCAATGTCTGTAGTTATAAAAACTAGGTTAAAGCTATGCAGTAAGTATGAATCAGAGTATAACTTTCTGGAAGATTCAGCTTAAGGAGACTATTCTTAGAAATGCATACCTGTTTTGACAGTAAATTATATTTTAAAAAAAAATGCATACCTTTTATGGAGGAAAGCAAATTTGTGTTTCAAGTATTATTTTCAATAAATACCACTTGAATTCTTCTAGAGTTGGTGATACCCACGCAAGATCAGAACACACTGCTGAGCAGCATATAGTAATAAATGACTTATGCCTAGTTCTTAGGAAGTCTGAACCATATATTGAAGAGCTGCTGAAAGACATCCAGCCGTTAGCACTGCCATGCTCATTGAAAGACATTGTTCCACAGAATTCGGTAAGTGAGACTTAAATTATTTCTTCTTTGGGGGCTAAATATTCCAATTTTAGCTATGTATTACCAGTCAGATTGCAAAGTGTAAGTTCGAGGCACCAATTGTCTTGTAAGTACATTTTGCATAATAAACTATCAGTGCCAGTAAAAAAGGAAATGAACTTCAGGTTCCATAATTAGAAATATTCTTAGTGGGAAATTGAATAAGCATATATGCGTGGAATGATAGATGAAATATCCAAATAAACCACTAAATTTGAGTCAGATGTGGAGAGAAAAATTTTTAAATATAGTGTAGTGTGAGTTTCCATTTCTTTACTATTTTTGTGGCACTTTGTTCCTTAGTTGTAGCCCATATCACATATTACTTTGCAGTATTTAGGAAAAATTTCATAAATATTTAAGCATAAGTACTTGCATATTTACTTGCATTGTGTATTCCCCAGCAAGACTCAACAACTCCTACAAGACAGGAATTGTGTGTAAGAATATATGTTAAACTGTTACATCATTATGAAATCTATGAAAGCAGGAGTCTGTGTCTTTGCCCATCATTGTATTCCCAGCACATAGCAGATTACCTAGCACATAGTAGGCATTCAACATATATTTGGAAGAATGAATAAATAAAAAGTAAAAGGAAATATATCACACGCGGTGTTTTCCTCAAAATGGCAAAATTGGTTTAAATTTTGTCTTTTGTAATTTTTGGCATTTTCTGAGTTGGCTTTAATTTTATAACCTTTAGAAAGAGGTTTTATTTTTTAAGAAACATGTAGCTTTTTCAAAATTTGAGCATAGTTGGCACACACAGTTACATTAGTTTCAGGTATACAACAGAGCAATTCAACAGCTCTGCTGGAGGTATCACAATTCCAGATTTCAAAATATACTACAAAGCTATACTAATCAAAATAGTAATGGAACAGAATAGAGAACCCAGAAATAAGCCCATGCTTATAAGATCAATTAATCTATGACCAATGAGGCAAGGATATACAATGGGGAAAAGACCGTCTCTTCAATAAATGGTGCTGGGAAACTGGACCATTTTCTCATACCATGCACAAAAAGAAACACAAAATGAATTAAATTCCTAAATATGAGACCTGAAGCCATAAAAGCCCTAAATAAAACATAGTAATTTCTTTGACATCGGCCAGAGTAACATTTTTCTAGATATGTCTCCTCAGGCAAAGGAAACAAAAGCAAAAATAACGTATTTGGAACTACACCAAAATAAAAAACTTTTGCACAATAAAGGAAGCCATGAACAAAACGAAAAGGCAGCCTGTTGAATGGAAGAAGATATTTGCAAATAATATATCTGATAAGGGATTAATATTTAAAATCTATAAAGAACTTAACACCAGAAATGTATAGTTTTAACTCTTAAAATTTACTTTAGATATGGTGGGGGGGACTTAAAGATTCAAAGATCAACTTAAAATTTTTTTAAATGAGTGAATACTTATCCTTACTGTTTAAGTAGCATGTACCTCCTATATTCCTAGTTAACGGAAACTCAGTTAACTGATGATTACAGATATCTTGATTGCATTACATGGCTCCCATTATACTTTCAAAATTACCTTTTGAATTTGTCATTTAAGAGAAAAATATGCAATACTTGTTTTATTTTAGAATATTTATAATCTTCGTATTAATACTCAGAGGTGAAACTAAATTCTAAAGTACAATAGCTTATGGACACCTTGAGACTGTTCATAAAATCAAAGGTCTAGGGGCACCTGGCTGGCTCAGAACATGTGACTCTTGATCTTGGGGTCGTGAGTTCAAGCCCCATATTGGGCATAGAGCTCATACACACACACACACACACACACACACACACACACACACACACACACACAAATCCATATATTGTGCATACATAAGCACCGACCTTGGGTTTGTGACCATAACTGTTGTTTAGTGTCTATGGTTGAGCCCCTTTGCTCGTTTGCAGTCTTTGGTTGTATAAAGCCAAATCCAAACAAAACAAAACCAAAGATAAATCCAGAGTATTGTACCATTAGCACTAATTATAATTACTAAATACATCGGAATTTTACTTTTTCCACAGAATGAAGGCTGGGGAGAAGAAGCTAAAGTAGAATTTTTGAAAATGGTAAATAACAAGGCTGTTTTAATGAAAGTTTTTAGAGAAGAAGATGGTGTGCTTATTGTAGACCTGCAGAAACCACCAACAAATCAAATAAGCAGTGATATGCCTGTGTCTCTTAGAGATGCATTAGTTTTTATGGAATTAGCAAGGTAGGTAACTTATTAAATGCTTTTGAGATTATAAATTGGAATAGCAGAATTTACCTTTAAAAACTATGGACTGACTCCAAAGTGAACATTAAGAGATTAAAAAAAAAACGCTATTAGTTTTCTAAGTATAGTTGTCAGAAAATGATATTCAGATAATTTAATAAAGAAATTAAAACTCAATTACAACTCAAAATAGAAACTGTAGATACTGAAACAAATTTTAGACTCCTGATAACTTCACAGACAGCTCCCCTAGGGTTTTAAGAATTACAGTTTAACAGTGCCTGACTTAAATTTTCTACCCTTTAGAGTAAGTTCATGATCACCCACTCTGTATTTAATGTCTGAATCTAGAATAGATACTTCAACTTTCTTCCCCCACCCCCATCACTGATGAACAAAGTAGGACGACTGAGAGAGATAGTGGAAGATACTAACTTTTTGTCCGAGTGGGGAGATGACTCTGGAAGTGACCCAAGTAGGTTTCATTGTAGAGAAATAAGAGTAGTATTAGAGCTGGAGGGGGCCCACGGAGACCCTCAGCTGGCCTGGGTGCTACTATGAACTGTGGTTATCAATTTAACTGAAAGATGAGAAACTGTTTTTTTGTTTTGCTTTGTTTTTGTTCAAAAGAGGAGAATCCTTGAATCTGAGTAGAAGAAACAGGCCTGGCTCAAAAATGTTCCAACACAAAATTGAAGGTCAATTGTTGCCTTTGGAGACTTGACATCTTATTTAACCTAGTTTGATAATTGGAGACAATACCAAGAAATGTATTAGAAGAGAAATTGGAAAGGGAATACTCTTGGTAGATAAATAAGTACATGCACAAGTCTTTTCTTCAGACCAAATTGCTAAGAGAAGAGATTCTTTGAAGAAAATGGTTCTTGCTTATGCTTTGATTGTGCTTTCGATTAGGTTTAGGTCACAATCACCAAGAAGCCACTCTGAAAAAAATATGACTTTACATTATCACCCACCTGTTTTGCCTAAAGAAATGACAGATGTTTCAGTTATGGTTTGTCATATAAATAGTCCTACTGATTTCTATCTTCAGTTGGTAAGTATTTAGTATTCCTTAGAGACCAAGTATTTTTTTTCAAATTTTAAGTAGCAATGTATAAGGGAAATGAGTACCTAGTATGACTTTTAGAACAATCCAATACCAACATTCTGTAAATTTAAGTTTCATAGCTGCAACTTTAAACAAGAAATTCTCATGATTCGTAGTAATTTAAGAAACTCTTAATCATGCAAATTAGTGAAATATAGAAGGAAGGGACAGTGAAGGATACCTAATATATGTGTTTCTTGCTACCTTATGAAATCTGGGCAATAGGAAAGCACGTAGAACTGTCATCAAAATACTATGATAAAACCTGTTTCTGACCGTGAACATCTGAGAATTTACTAATTATTACTAGGTAATTTTCTGAATTTGAACACCAAAATAAATTCAGATCAAAGCCATTCATATTTAATTTTGAATGTGGATTGATGGGTTTGTTTAGCTAGCTACTAACAATGAGTTCGTCATTATTAATCTCTTTGTGTCAGTGCTTCATATGAATTAACTCATTCTAAGGGCAATAATAAGTGAATAACTCATTAATCTTTATAACAATCCTGTGAGAAAGACACTAGTATTTTTGTCTAGATTGGAGATTCTGACCAAAAGGATGAAGCAACTTGCCTGAGGTCACACAGCTACAGAAAGGTGGAGCCAGGATTAGACTGGGTAGTGTAGCTTCATTCAGAACCTGTCATCTTAAACCCTGTACCATGTTCTGCGGGCTCCCCAGATAAGTTGTGGAAGTCGCCTTATTTGGCCCTAAGTTAGGACTTGCATACATTTCTTTTATTGAATTTTTTTTACAGTGTCTTATATTTAAATTGAAGTAAAACATATATAAAATTAACTATTTTAACCATTAATGTATGGTTCAGTACCATTAAATACCCCAAGTGTCATGCAACTGTTGCCATTATTCATCTCCAGAACTGTTTCACATCCCAAATAGCTCAGTAACCCTTAAACAATAACTCCCCATTTTTCTTCCCCACCCCCAGCCTCTGATAACTTGTCCTACTGTCTTTATGAATTTATCTGTTTCACTTAGCATAATGTTTACATGTTATAACATGTATCAGAATTTCATTCCTTTTCATGACTGACTAATATTTCAATGTATGTATATACTACGTTTTGTTTATACATTCATATGTTGATGGACACTTGGATTGTTTCAACCTTTTGGCTATTGTGAATAATGCCGCTATAAACATGGGTGTTCTAGTGTTTGAGTCTCTGCTTTCAATTTTTTTGGATTTATACCTAGATCTGGAATTGCTAAATTATATTATAATTCGGTTTGTCTTTCTGAAGAACTGCCAAACTGTTTTCCACAATGCTGCACCATTTTATATTTCCATTAGCAATGCATAAGAGTTCCAATTTTTCCATATCCTCACCAACACTTTTTTTTTAAGTAATAGCTGTTTAGGATATGGATTGTATCTCATTATGGATTTGATTTGCATTTTCCACATGGCTCAGATTGTTGAATACATTTTTCCATGTGTGTATTGGCCATTTGTATATTTTCTCTGGAGAAAGACCTATTCCAGTCCTTTGACCATTTTTGAATTGGATTATTTTGTTGTTGGGGTGTAGGAGTTCTTTATACATCATGGATTTTAATCCTTTGTCAGATACATCATTTTCAGATTTTCCCCCCATTCTGTGGGCTGCCTTTTTACTCTCTTGGTAGCATTCTTTGATCCACAAAAAATTTTAATTTGGTAATCCAGTTTTTCTGTTTTTTTCTTTTGTTGCCTGTGCTTTTAGTGTCATAGTCAAGAAATTTTTGCTGAATCTAACATTACGAAGCTTTTCCCTTATGGTTTCTTCTAAGAGTTTTATAGTTTTAGCTGTTAGACTTAGGTCTTTGATTTCGAGTGAACTTTTGTGTATGATATGAGAGAAGAGTCCAATTTCATTATTTTCCATGTGGATGTCCAGTTTTCCCAGCATTGTTTGTTGAAAAGATGGTCTTTTCTCCATTGAATGGTCTTGGCATACTTGTCAATATGCAGTTAGCCATAATATATGTGAAGGTTTATTTCTGGGATCTCTATTTACTCCATCAGTCTATCTGTTCTTATGCCAGTAGCACACTTTTTTGATTACCATAGCTTTATATAGCAAGTTTTGAAATCGGGCTGTGTGAGTTCTCCAACTTTGTTCTTTTTCAAAACTGTTTTGGTAATTTGTGGCCCCTTGAGATTCCGTATGACTTTTTTAGGGTGGGTTTTTCTGTTCTGCCTGAAACATCACTGAGATTTTGTTAGAGACTGCATTGCATTGTAGATTGCTTTGGGTGGTATTGTCAACAATATTAGGTCTTTCAGTCCATGAGTGTGGGATGTCTTTCCTCTTATTTTTGTCTTCTTTCATTTCTTTTATCACTGTTGTGTAATATACAGCAAGTGTCTTGTTTAAGTTTATTCTTGAGTGTATCACCTTTTTGGATGGTATTGTAGAGGGAATTATTACTTTCGTTTTCGGATTTTTCATTACTGCTAAATAGAAACATAACTAACTTTTATGTCTTGGTTTTATATTTTGTAAGTTTGCTGAGTTTTTTTCTAACAGGTTTTCTTTGTGGATTCTTTAGAGTTTTGTAAATATAAAATTATATCAGCTACAAAAAAGATTATTTTACTTCTGACAGTTGGGATGCCTTTTGTTTCTCTTTCTTATTTAATGGCTCTGGTAGAAGTTCTAATATCATGTTGAATACAAGTAGAAAAGGCAGGCATCTTTTTCTTCTGTCTGAGGGGAAAAGCTTTTGTCTTTCACCATTGACAATGGTATCTGTGGGTTTTTCTCATATGGCCTTTATGATGTTGAAGAAATTTCCTTCAATTCCTGTTAGAGGAGAGGGAGAGAAGGGTTGGAGGATGGGCTAGATGGGTGATGGGCATTAAGGAGGACACTTGTTGGAATGAGCACTGGGTGTTAAATGTCAGTGATGAATCACTAAATTCTACTCCTGAAACAAATACTAATACACCATATGTTAACTAACTTGAATTTAAATTAAAAAAAAGTAATAATACCATTTTTGGGGCACCTGGGTAGCTCAGTCGGTTAAGCATCTGACTTCTGCTTAGGTCATGATCTGGTGGTTTGTGGATTCGAGCCCCTCATCAGGCTCTCTGCTGACAGCTTGGAGCCTGGAGCCTGTTTTGGATTCTGTGTCTCCCTCTCTCTCTGCTCCTCCCCAGCTCACGCTCTGTCTGTCTCTCAAAAATAAATAAATATTAAAAAAAATTTTTTTAATACAATTTTTGCATCAACTGAGATGATCATGGTCTTTCTTTTTCCTTCATTCTGTTAATGTCTTTTGCATTGTTTTAGTTTGTTTTGTATTTTAAACCATCATTGCATTCCAGGAATCCATCTCCCCTAGATCATGATATATAATCCTTCTAATAAGCCATTGAATTTGTTTTGTAAGTATTTTGTTGAGGGTTTTTACATCAGTGTTTATAAATGGTATTGGTCTATAGTTTTCTTATCATGTCTATGTATGGCTTTAGTTTCTGGTAATGTTGGCCTCTTAAAATGAGTTAGGATGAGTTTATCCCCCCCAGTTTTTTGGAAGAGTCCAAGAAGGGATGGTATTAATTTTTTTAAGTGTTTATTTAATTCCACTTACAGTGTAATATTATTTTCAGGTGTACAATATAGTGATGCATTATTTCCTTATATATCACCTGGTGCTCCTCACAAGTGCTCTCCTTAATCCCCCATCACCTATTTGACCCATCCCCCCCCACCACCTCCTTTTAGGTAACTATCAGTTTGATAGAATTCATCATAGAAGCCATATGATCCAGGGCATTTCTTAATTTGGAAGTTTTTGATTACTGATTCAGTCTCCTTGCTAGATACAAGTCTGCTCAGCTTTTTTTATTCATGATTCAGTTTTGGTAGGTGTTTCTAATTATAGTAGATTCTTATAATGCTCTTTATTTATTAAAATCGGTAGCAATTCACCCATTTTCTTTTAACTTTTTTAATGTTTTTATTTACTTTTGACAGAAAGAGACAGAGGTGTGAGTGGGGGAGGGGCAGAGAGGGGAGACACAGAATCTGAAGCAGGCTCCAGGCTCCCTGTTGTCAGCACAGAGCCCGATGTGGGGCTGAAACTCACAGACCTGCTCCAAAGTCAGGCACTTAACCAGCTGAGCCACCCAAGTGCCCCAAATTGACACATTTTGTTTCTGACTTTAGTAATTTGCATTTTTCCTTTTTTTCTTAGTCAGTGGTTTGTGAATTTTGTTAATTTTTCAAAAGCCAACTTTTGATTTTGTTTTTTTTAGCCATTGTTTCTCTTTTTTCTATTTTATTTATATATAGGCTCTAATCTTTATTATTTTCTTCCTTCCAGTTTTGGGTTTATTTTACCTTTTTTTTCCCTTAAGGTTTATCATTAGGTTATTTATGATCTTTCTTTACTGTATATATTTTACAGCTGTAAAGTTCCCTTTTAGCACGACTTTTGCTACATGCCATAAGTTTGTTGTGAATTTTTCAGTTTTTCTCTGTTAATTTCTAGTCTTCTTCCATTGTGATTAGGAGAGATACTGTGTATGTTTTCAGTCTTTTAAAATTTATTAGGGCTTGTTTTGTTGCCTAAGGTATTGTCTATCCTGAGAATGTTTCATGTGCACTTGAGAAAAATTCTGTTGGCTTGAATGTTCTATATATGTCTTTCATGTGTAAGGGGTTTATACTGTTGTTCAAGTAATCTATTTTCATCTTGATAATCTTTGTAGTTCTTGAAAATGAAGCACTTAAGTCTCCTTTTATTGAAAAACTGTCTCCCTTCAATTCTGTCAATATTTGTATCATATATTTGAGGGCTCTAATGTTTGGTGCATATATATTTGTAATTGTTACGTCTTATTGGTTAATTGACCCTTTTATCAATGTATAATGTCATTCTTTGTTTCTTGTAATATTATCTGACTTAGAGTCTATTTTGTCTG